GAAAGGGACATCGAAATTAAGACTCTTCAGCAACAACAGATGGTTGGATTTGAAGATCAGAAGATTGCTGGGAAGACACCTCGGCAGCCTTCTCAGCCACGAGCTCGACGTCTATTTCCTGCAGGGTTTGATCAAGGCTCTTGTCGGCAATAGGCACGTCCGATATCGCCTTTTAAGGTGTAGCATCTATGGGAACCTCCTCACCCTTCTCATCTTGAGCCAAGTCCAGGACTTGCTCATTTTGAGAAGGGGACTTGGCCCCAGCAGCGTCTTTTGGCTTCCTCACCAAAACCTCCTCCTCAGATTCAGAGTCGTCGTCAGATTGCCTTGGAGTTAGGGGGAATGGCAAAGGAAGGACGTCGGTATTCCTGAGGGGGGAGTCATCGGGGATTTCGAGCTTTTTAAGTAAAGTCATCTAACCAATGGTGAAACCCTTGTTGCATGCCTGCTTTACTTATTTCTCGCAATCCGCCGTAACGTCGGCCACCCCCTCATTGTATCCCTCCTCGTCGGCGGCCTTGACTTCGGCCTCTTTTGTGGCCAGGGCTTCTTGAAGTTCTTTCTGGGCCTGGGTCATCTTTTCCTCAGCCTCTCTCTTTTCAGCCTCAAAAACCTTCTTAATGGTCTCAACGGATTCTGCTTTTTCCTCGGCATCATCCTTAGCTTTAATAGCAGCCTCGGCTTGATCGTCCAAGGTCTTCATCTTTGATTGCAAGTTTTTATTAGTCTTCTGTAGACTAGCAGCCTCCTTCTTCTTGTCGGCCAGCTCCTTCTGATTCTCAAAAGCTTGCATTGAGAAAGAATGAGCATGCTGGATGGCCTGAAAGTGAAGAGAGCAGAAGTTATTAGAAAATTTTCTAAGTACAAAAAAAGAAAGAAAGAAAGATACCAAGTATGAAGACTTACTTGAACAGAGTGCTAGAGTATCAAGGCAAAATTTTCATACTCACTTATATCAACGTTCCGGTTGAGATCGCTGGGAAGAAGCAGAGCGGTACTAAGGGCGACACCGACATTAACATCGTCGGTGCTATCGCCAGCTCTGACTGGCATGTCCTCCAATGTGATCTGGGGGGCCCAGGAGGAATCATGCTTCAAAGATCCTGAAATGGTTACGGAGGATGACCTCGACCTCTTTGATCTAGCAGACTCGGATGGTTGGGTCTTGGCAGGCCTCTTTTCAGCGGCAGAATTGGACTTATCACTCTCAGCCAATTTGGAGATTGACAAGGTGTCCTCAATGTCAATCTGGGTCACCTTTACCTTTGGTTAAGCCTTCTTAATTCTTTTATGTTTTGGCTTTGGAGGTTGGATTTGTGCTGGCTGATCACCAACTTTGTTAGAAACATTGGCTAAGAAGTCCTATGCAACTGCTTTCTGACGGCCCATCTCGGCAGCAAAAACCGTTCATCGCCGGCGTTAGCGCTGGGATATTGGGATCAGATATGGAGCCGAAGTTAGCGGCTGCTCTGCTGAATCAGAAGTCGAACCTTGATCTGGCCGAGATGAGGAGGTAGCTTGGGGAGTTGTGGCGGAAGGAGGAGACAGACTCTTCTTCTTCTTCTTCTTCTTTGGAACGTCGGAAGAACAGACTTATAGGTAGGAATGAAATTGAGTACCAAAGGGGCTCTTCTCTTGTGGACTGGTAGATCCAGTAGTTTCTTCAAGTCTTTGCTGGGAAAGAAAGACTGGCGGAAACCCTTTGGCGGCTAAGGAAGAACTGCAAAAGGAATAGCACAGACATTAGAACAAAGTATTAAAGACTTTAAAAAACAAGTAAGCATAGATACTGGGCTCTTACCGTTACCCTCTATAAAAACTGTTCAAGGAAGAGGGTAGAGGTGGAGGTCCTCGTCTGGAGCGAACTCCCAGTTCCCCGAGGTAATGAAGCAATCATCCCCGGCTCCCTTGTTGGAGTTTGGGAGGTCGGCTATGATTTTATACTCTGTAGACCTCGGCTTGAGGTAGTAAATATAACCTTTCTCTTTCAATGAAAGGCCGCACATAGTATAACAGTATTGGATGTCGGCTAAGGTAACCCTAGCATTCTCTTGTTCGGTTAAGGCTATTATGCCATTGATGACTCGATAGGAATTGATGGTGAGCTGCATCGGGTTCAACTTATAGTAATGGAGGACTTGTCGAAAAAGAATGTTGAGTGGGAGCCTAAGTCCACACTCGACAAAGTCCACAACAAGGAAGGGCATAGAATCAGTTGTAGGCATGATGGAGTCATCCTCCCCAGCCAACCTCAGATGGACGTCGGCAAGGATGGAAAACTCTCGCCTAAAGTATTCTAACTTTGTCGGGGTGTCTACCCTATGCTTCCACATTCCCATGGTATCGGCTTAACTGGAGGAGCTGGATTTCAGAATGAAGTATTTTGAAGGGTTTTAGGGACCTCGGCTAAAACCTAAAAATACACAGAATCTATGGGGAGTCGTTTCAATTTTTCCTAAGATTTATGGGTTTAGCAAACAAATCCTAGACTTATATCTATAAAGATGAGGATTGAAGGCACGAATTTGGAAAAAAAACACGGCAAACAGAAACAGGAATGCGATTCAGAGTCAAGAATAGTGATGGGTCATCAAGAAACACAAGGCAAAAATTTTCATAAGTGTGTCAAGCCAAGAACAGTGGCAACAATCAACAAGTGTGTGAACAATGTGTATTTAAGAAACAAATGGGGCAAAAAACAGAATCATGAAACAAACATGTGGCGGAAAACAAGATATAGATTGAAATATCAAAGATATGAACAAGATTGCAGTAGCAGAATAGTAAAGTTCAGAAAAGCAAAACAAAAAACTGAAATGAGAAGTTAAATCGAGAGGAAACAGTAACTCACCGAAGAGGGGAAGCCGGTGTTGAGATCGCCGAAGTCAGACGAACGGCGGCAGTAGAAAAAGAGCCTCGCCGGAAGAGGTGAAACAGCGGTGGCAACAGAGCTTCAGAGCTTGGAACAATGGAGGATTAGAGAAAGTAAGAGAGAGAAAGAGTTTGAACAAAGACGATGTAAAGTGAAAAGACGAAAGGAGAAAGAAGTTTTGTCAAAACTCGAAATGGCGGCAAAAAGGTAATTAATGCGCCTAAAACAACGTATGCGTCAGACGGCGCACATAGGCGTGAGACGATTTACAAATGTGTATCAAGTACGATCCAGTAAGGGGAAGACGCATGGCTAAAATGGTTGAGTTATTGTGCACGACAGCTCATACGCATGAAGGAGCTCTTGAAATTCATGTTCTTTAACAAAGAAATGTCGACCTGTATGATGATCTCGGCTAAAGAAATTTTAAGCCGACGTACTGGAAAGAAGTTCTGGTATAGGTTCCATCACCTTAGATTGCCGAGGTAATACACTACAAGAAAAGTGGGTATATGAGACGGAACTATTTGCGACAGCACACTTGCTGTCTCAAAAAGTCACTTTTTGCAACGGCAGAAAATGCCGTCTCAAAAAATCAGAGTATTTGCGACGGCACCATTTGCCGTCTCAAAAAAGCATAGCATTTGCGACGGTATTTTCTGCCATCGCAAATACTCTGCTTTTTTGAGACGGCAAATTGTGCCGTCGCAAATGCTCTGCTTTTTTGAGACGGTAAATGGTGCCGTCGCAAATACTCTGCTTTTTTGAGACAACATTTTCTGCCGTCGCAAAAAGTGACTTTCATGTTTTTTTTTTTAATTTTTAGCGAATATTTTTAAAATTTTAAATATTTTTTTTAGATGCACCTTACTTAGATGTATCTAAAAAAAAATTATGAAAAAATATTTTTAAAAATTAATAAATACATAAAAATACAAAAAAAAATGTATTGAATTATTGTATTTTTGGTATTTAGTGAATTTTTAAAAGATTTTTTTTATAATTTTTTTTAATTTTTAGGTGTATTTATGTTAGGTGCGTCTAAAAATTAAAAAAAAAAACTTAAAATATTAAAAAAATTCAGTAAAAACAATATAACATGGCAAACAAGAAAGTAGAATTTTCTCAAAAGAGTTTTTGAAAAACTCTAACCTAGCATAGTGATTGTGGTTTTGAGACAGCTTCATATATATACAATCATAAAATGGTTTGAATAAATTCTAGTACTTTTTTCTGTCGCAAAAAAAATTTAAAAAAACAATGTCTTCTTACTCTTTTGATATAACATTTCTCTTTTCATTCATTTTTTCATCTCATGTCTCTCTGTCTCTATCTCTCTCTCTTCTCTTTATCTCTTTCACTCATTACTCTTCTTTCTCTGTCTGTCTGTTTCTCTTTCTCATTTTCTCTCTGTGTCTCTCGCCTATCTCTCTTCTCTCTATCTCTCTCATCTGTTTTCTCTCTTTGTCTCTCTCGCTCATTTCTTTTCTCTCTCTCTTTTATCTTTCTATCTCTCTCTATCTCTCTCGCCCATTTCTTTTCTCTCTCTGTCTCTCTCTTTTTCTGTGTCTCTCTCTCGCTCATCTCTTTTCACTCTATTTCTCTCTCTTTTTGTCTATCTCTCGCCCATCTCTTGTTTTTCTCTCTTTTTCTATCTTTCCCTCTATCTCTATCTCTCTCTATCTCTTTTTCTGTCTATCTCTCTCTCCCTGTCTCTCTCTTACTCATCACTCTTCTCTCTCTCTCTCTCTCTGCTTGTCTATTTGTCTATTTCTCCCTCACTATGTTCGCCTTGCTCACTCTCTTACTCCAATCTTCTCTTTTTCTGTCTCTCTCTCTCTATCTCTTTCTCTCTTTGTCTATTTATTTCTCTCTCTTTCTCCGTCTCTCTCTCTCACTCATCACTCTTAATAGAAAATATTTTTCATTAAAATATTATCCTTACTTCTACCAAATAAAAAATAATAATAATTTTTCATTCATTAAATATTCATTTATGATGAAAATGAAAATTATTATTTATTTTTTTTATTATTTAAATATTCATTTATGATGAAAATTATTATTATTATTATTATTATTATTATTATCTCGGTTTCCCCATTTTTTTCCATTCCCGCGCCCCCCAAAATCCCCAACCTCTTAGAACCAAAATCCCTAATTTCTACCAAAATGAAAAAACCCTAATCGTCTCCTCACTCTCCCAGTCTCATCTCAAGTTCAACTCATCACTGTCTCTCTCTCTCACTCTCTCGTTTCGTTGTTCTTCATATCTGCACCGATCACTCTCTGACTCTCTCGTTGTTCATCTCATCGCACCGATCATCGCACCGCCGATCTACTCACAGGTAAACTCTCTCTCAATTTCAGTCTCTCTCTCTCTCTCTCGCCCCGATCGTTGTTTTTTTTGTTTTATATATATATATATCAGATATCTCTCTGATCTAATCTGTCTCCCTCACTCTCTCATATCACCAGTCTCAGGTACGATCGTTTCCTAGGTTTTCCAACAGTATATCAGCGTTCGCGAATTAGGTTTATAATAAGTTCTTATAATTTGTATTTTTTGTTTATTGAAAGACTCTTCGCTCTTTGGATTTGAATCCGATAAACTATTTGCTAGATTTTTTTATATTTTTTTATTTTTTAAAATTTTTTAATGTGTTGTAACCTTGTTTGTCTGAAACTGTTGTCTTCTCATAGTTTTCTTTCTGTCTCTCTCAAGAATTCTTGTTTTGTTTAATGTGTTATAACCAATTTTTTTGTGTTGTTTTGTTTTTTTTCTTTTGGTTTTTTGGTAGCCTGGATTTTTTTTTTTTTTGTATGGGTTATTGTTTACTGTGATGTAAATTTTTCCATTACCAATGAATAAATGTCAATACAAACTACAAAGGAAGAGAGCATTGTTTGCAATTTCAAAGGAGTTAATTGTGAGAGTGTTGTGCCCCTCTGACATGATTGGCCGCATTATTGGCAAGGGAGGGGGTTCAATCAAAAGTGTGAGACAGGCCAGTGGTGCTCGTATTGAGGTTGATGATAAGGCTGATCGTGATGAATGTATCATCTCCATCACCTTAACAGAGGTGTAGCTTTCTTTCTGCTTCCTTTTTATTTATATTCTGAGTTCTTTGTCAAGTGCTCAAAAGGTAGCAGGAGGGCAGGGAGAAACTGCTCTACCTCTTGATTTCCTCACTGTTTTTAACTTTGATTGGGGAATTGTGACCCAGATCAAGTTACTACACACACACACACACACACACACACATATATATATATATATATATGTACATTTGGATCATCTCTACGTGCTATCATGGGTTTGTAAAATACCTTTACAATAAAACATGTGTTTATAAATATTTAACACTTAATAGTTGTGTCATGACTTCTTTAACTTGCTAAGGCACGACTTGTGTTTCTTGCAACTCTAGAGTGTTTGATGCAAAACAACATTATTTTTTTGAAGAATTGTTTTTTACTTCATTTATTGTGCCCCATTTATTTTTATTTTGATGACTGTATGTAATGGCATCTAAATACCATCATTTATCTGTATCCATTTATTTAATGTTGGATCATGTTCTGAGTTGTTGGGTTGGGAAACCTGCTGTTGAGGGTATTCTTCATTCCATGTGTCTTGATATTTTTGCACCGCTTTTTTTGGCAGTCCATGGATGACATGAAATCCATAGCAGTTGAAATGGTTTTATTGCTACAAGGGAAGATAAATGACGAAGATGATGACACTGTAACTATCCGGCTTCTTGTTCCATCTAAAGTTATTGGTTGTATAATTGGAAAAAGTGGTTCAATCATAAATGAGATGGCTTAGGCATGCTTTCTTCAGGCAGCCTTTATGGATATGGATCTTTATCAGTATGTCAATGTTGTGGCATTTAATTTCTTTGTTATTTCCTTGGTATTATGGTCATTTGATATTTTTAGATCTTGTTATTCATTTTTTTTTTCCAGTTACAAGTTTTCTTTGGTACATTTATGGCAATGTGCTTGCTTATTTTTCTATATTGTTTTAATTTTGTTACTTAGGCATTGTTTCCTAAAATTGAAAATTAACTACTGAAAACTTTAAAAGTTGAATTTTTTAATTTGAAAAACTGTTTGGTATCTACTGAAATTTATGTGCTAAATAAATTTATTGTCTGCTCTTTTTCCTGCATTGGTGTTTATGTCAGTATTTTATTATTTAATTTTTTCACTGTTTTGTCCACTTAATTAATTTTTTAACTCCACCCCTGTTCTTGTGGTTCTTATTTGAGTGGTTGTTTCTCTTTTGATAGATGGGTGACAATGGCTATGGATCTTTGTCTTCATACTCATCAAAGATGTATGGAGGGTTAGTATTATTATGGCCATGAGTTTTTTACTATATTGAAAGACTCTTCAATAACTCTCATTTTGGGTGAAATTAAAGGTGGCTGCAGAAAAGAAGGTAAGAATGCTTGTGGTGGTCATACTTTATGAACATAATAAATATACTCACAGTACAGTAATTAATTTTAATGTGTGATCACTGTGTGCATGGAAATTATAAATAGCAATCTTTTTTTTTTGCTTTGAAGTTAACTCTCCTTGACAACCACATTTCATTATACTTTTAGTGTGGAACATAAGCATTCTATATGAAATTTGCATTCTTATCTCAGGAGAGCTAGCATATAATTTTTCGATGATACTATTATTGCTTCAATTTTCTGGTTAGAGTTTCCATTTCATATTTTTCATCTCTTTGGAGATATGTTTACTCAAAAAATCGTAATAGCATATTTAATATTCATAATGAATATCAAATAAGACAATCAACCAACATAGCTAAATTATAATGATTGTTTTCGATGTATGGGTTGATTATTCGTAATGAGAGTGAATAGATACTGCCCATATAGATATAGCATCTATACGAAACACCCTTTTAGTTGGGTCTTTTTTTTATTTAATTTATCTACATGCCAGGTTATTCTATTTGATATCATGGTAGGTAGTCAGAAAACATTTTCACAAATTGATCTTGTTTAAGGAGGGGAATTTGAGGTGGAGGACTGTTGAGACAACTATAAAAGTAGAAATGAAACCATTTTGAGTAGGTGGGTTTTTAACATAATGAAAGAATGCTTGATTTGGGATGATTTGCTCATCTGCATTCAAGACCAACAAATTTGATGGTGGGGATGTGGTAGAACTAAGGTGTAACATGAATAAGAAGACAACTGAAAAGGGCATGGGTTGAGAAGTGATAGTGCATTTTGGTGATTTAGCGGAACATGTCGTCTTGGAAAAAGTACAAGCATTAAATGGCACAATGACATATCGTCTTGCAAATTGTGCTACACTTTGTTTCACATCAATCCCAAACCTAAGTTCAGATCATGCTTGGGCCTGCTCATGGCCTAGCCCTAAGTTAGTTGCCATTTTAGCTTCGGCTATTATTAATATGAGGTTTGTAAAAGTTTTATCTTATTAAGCTAACAAGGGATAGAGATCTGACAGAAGGGATTTTTGGGGATTCATTCACGTGGCAAGCTCATATTCCCCAAAGTTTACTTATAGTGGATGTGAGGTTATTTGATATTGGGCTGGCATTAGCCAAGTGTCCAAATACAATAATAAAACTCGAGGTTAGGCATGCTCTTAATTGAGGTCTTGTCAGAAAATAGCAAAAGAAAATATTAACACAAAATGGGCATAACAACTAACTTTTGGTGCACATGTTACAGGTGGGTGCAGCAAAGGCAGAACAATTTTGCAAGGCTTTTCGAAGCATTCACAAGAAACTTGTATGCATATTCTACTATCGAAGAATCATAAAATTTGTCCTCCATTAAACGCTATTATTTTACTTTCCTGATTGGACTTTTTTTTATTTGTTATTATTTATCTATATAAAATAATGACTCATGTAGGTGTATGAAGAAATGAGTTTAGATGCTGCCAAGAGTTTTTTGAGCTCACCTAAAAGTTATGGAGAATAGTTTCTTGCCTCCTGAATTTTCTTGTTATTCTGTTTCTGGTGGATGTTTTACTTGGAGAGAGAGAGAGAGAGAGAGAGAGAGAGAGAGAGAGAAAGAGAGAGAGATTGTAGTTCAAATTGAAGTAGTTCATGTTGCAAATTTGATTTTGATTTATATTATTTAAATTTGTGAACAACATTGTGTATGTATTATGCGACATTATGTAGTGGTATAATTTTAATTATTATGAATTTTTATTTATGTATTGTTATGAATGGAACAACATTATGAATTTTCATCATGTGTCAACTTTTGTTTATGTATGTATTTATATTATTATGTAATTATCGATTTTTTTTAGTTATTTTTCATTTAATACAGGTTATTTTCATATTTTTAATAATTTTAATATAGGGTTTTTTTTAAAATTTTTTTTGAGACGGCAGAACACCCCGTCTCAAAAAGAAAATTGAACCAAGCTTTTTGCGACGGTACCTATACTATCGCAAAAGGTATGGAATTGAATTGAAAAATAAGGCCTTTAGCGACGGTATCATTGCCGTCGACAATAGTCATTAGCGACGGCTCAAGTTGTTGTCTCAAATACACTTTTAGCGACGGTAATTTTGCCGTCGCAAAAAACCCTTTTAGCGACGGCAATACTGTGCCGTCGCAAAAAACTCAGATTTTCATCCATTATTGGTGACAGAAATTTGCCGTCGCAAAAAAGGCATTTTCCCATCACAAAAACAAAGGCGACGACACTTGCCGTCGCTAAAACCCTTTTGCAACCCCTCTTGTTGCGACCCCCACTTGCCGTCGCAAAAAGCCATTTTACCGTCGCAAAAACCTTTTGAGACGGCGTTTGGGGTATTTGCGACAGCGTTTTACCGTCGCAAAAAAATAATTTTTTTTTGTAGTGATAGAACTTAGGGGGCAGTTGTGGGGATATATTCTCTGAGTACCAACACATAGCCAAGGTGACGCCGACGTGTCAGCCGAGGTGCCACATGTCCCGGTCGTGATGCTGAGGTTATCTCGGCTAGGCCGAGGTTACCTCTGAAGATATCGAAATCCGAGATAAGCGGATAGGGCACAAGAGTCCTAGAATGAAGAAGGATCTCAGCTTAGATAAGAATAAAGCTCTTAGAGAGTTTATCTTTATCCGTTGGAGAGTCTAGGATGAGCATTAAGCTAAAAGTCCATGGAAACTAGGCTTTTATTGGGACTAAGATTGAGTTAGCTATAAAAGAGAGGCACCCCCATGGGTTTAAGGTACGCAATTTGTATTCTGAATAGTGAGTTAAGCACCTGATTTATCTTTGAAAGATAACTGACTTGATCATGGGAGTGCTTCCGGGTGGACGAACCACCATCGGAATCTCTTCTCTTTCTGTTGCAGGTCAATCAGGCGCCATCTATTCTGTCAGTGCTCTCCAGCTGAATACTAAGTTGACAGTGTGGTCGGAAAGTGGCACACACAATTCCAAACCACCAACTTAGTCCATACACTAAAAAACCAGGGGACTTGGTGGTATATTACAACACTATAACAAACCCAACATAACAAATGGCATTAACATTACAACATTGCAAACAACGCATGAACAACAAACCAAAAAGGCACACTAACCCACCACCTGAAACCAGCAAAACTAAATCTAATACAAAAATAAACACTACAGGACTATACCCCTATTCAAATATGAAACCCACCATACTATTAACACACAACAACATTACGTGGAATGTATGTAACCAAATTCGGATACAATCACAACATATAATCTAACATTCGTTGACTAATTCGATTATTTCATAAAAACAAAGAAAACAACATCAGCAGCTACACACCTAATGCCATCTGCCACTGACATAATCACTGACGATGACGAAGAGTCGATGTAAACTCGTCGGCTACACGTCGTCAACGTTAACACAAATGTAAAAATGGTTCATTGCGCACTCGTAATCGCCGACGGAAATGTATTGCCGGAATGGAAAACTCATTTTTCTAGGATTTGGGGAAGAAATCGAATGTTAATTTGGGCAACACACAATGACGATTTAACGTTGTCAAATTTAGATTAAGGGTTGGTTTGGGATGTTCTAAAAAAGTGCACTTTTTGACTTATTGGCTTATATGGGTTGGGTTTGGATTGAGTTTGATGTGATGTGTTAGAGATGTGATGTGATTTAAATAAGATAATGTGATTTAAATAGGATAGTGACTTTTTAACTTTTTGTATTATTTAGTTTATGCCAAACCAACCCTAAGTATAAATGGAGTAAAAATTCATCACATTAACATTGGAAACCCTAGAACTTTCCATCTTCGTCTATGTCATTTTGATCGGGTAGGAAGGAAGCCAAAAACTATATAGTATGCTTTTGAACATGAAAGTAATTTTAACATCACCAAAATCCACATTTACCCTTCACGTTTGGGCCAACACGCGGTGCAAAAATGTACAAATACGTCACTAAATGGTTTAAAAGATCCTAATTTGAGATTTACTGGTGCATTACTTTTTATATTATGTGATAGTTATTGTAATTTTTTTTTATTTAATTTTGAATAAAAATTAATTTGAAGAATAAAATGAAAAATAAATAAATTAAAACGTTTGTGTAATTTACCTAATAATACACCAGCACAAAATTAAAGCGATCTTTGTTTGGGGGGTACTCCAAGTTCATTTTCATCTATCAATTTTGTCGGTTATCTCCTCCTCTCTACGTTTTCCTAACATATGTGTTAGGATATCCGAATACATATTAATCTAATCTGTATCCTCCTCCTCCATATCCAAAATTTGAGATTGAGATTGAGATTGGTTTTGTTGAAGAAAATGGGTTCAGTATCTGCAGACATTCAGTCTGCAGATGAGGCTGCTGCTCAAGATAGCAGCTTGGAGAACACTGAGATAGAGCGCAGCAAAGTCGGAATCATGCGAGCCCTTGTTCAAAGAGAAGACCCCTCTGCTAAGGTCAACCACTCTCTCTCTCTCACTCCTTACTTTTCTTGTTTTCTCCGCTGATCACTTGATATAATTTGACTTTGTCATATGCTAATGTCTCTTCTCTAATTCTTTTATGAATCCCCTCTTTTGTTTTCTCAATCTTCTTCATTAATCGATTCAAATACTTCAAATTTTCATATAAGCCGCTCATTTCTTGTGGATCTATCTGCATAGCATGCGTATGTTGACAGAGGAAGCCTGCTTTGTTTGGGAAGTAGGAAAAAACCCACCTTACGTTTATGTTTTTGCACTTTTTTTATATTATAAAAAAATAAAATAAAATAAAAAAGGAAGAAGAAGAAGCCAATAAGCTAGTTTTTCTCCTCATTTAAAAATTCAAAAAGTTAACTTTTAACCATCTTTTTAAAACACCCCTATATGAATTATCTCTCTACTTTTCTGTACATTTTTTCGTAAAAAGTTGAAAAGTACACTTATTAAGATCATCCCAAACAACTTAATCAGCACTTTTTTTATATTATAAAAATAAAAAAAAATAAAAAAATAAAAAAGGAAGAAGAAGAAGCCAATAAGCTAGTTTTTCTCATTTTTTTAAAAAAAAAAATTTTTTTCTATTATTATTATTTTATTTTATTTTTTGTATTAAAATTGGCTGCCTAATATCAGTCTTATACCTTGAATTTTCTTTTTTTGAGCTCCTTTTTCGTGCCTGAGAAATCCTAGAAATATAACCCACGTGTTTGTTAATAATGCCTTGTTTGTTTCTTTTAAAATTCCCCACTTTGGTTTCAGCTTTTATTTCATTCTTCTATTTGATGTTGCCATCCACTGGATAGGATACGACAGATTCTATTTTGGTTAGAGCATCTCCAACCCTTCATCAATTTTTTCATCTAATTTGATTCCATTTTTGAGTAAAAATCTTTATTTGATATGAACTACTCCAACCCTTTCATCAAATTTTCATCAAAATCATCTCCACTCCTTCATCTTTTTAAATTTTTGTCAAATAATTTGATAATGGTATTGATGATAGACAAATGTCTCTCCTTTGATTTAATGAATGGATTGGAGATAGTTAAATTTGATGAAAAAGAGGGTTAAGGATCGGAGATGCTCTTAATTGCTATTGTAATGCTATACAAGTGGATCATAATTTTCTAAAATTGACTTTTGGTTATACATGGAACACTAATAAGATATATTCAGGGACGGACCCATTATTCTAACTTAGAGGAGGCGAACTCCAAATAAAAATCAAATTATAAAATGGAACATATTTGGTTATGTAACAATTGACAAACTTGAATATACATTAACACAGAGGGACAACCACTTGAAATTTTTTAATTTTTTTTTTTAACCTAGTGTTAGCAAAAATCTGGTTTGGGTCAAATCAACATAGGTCAAATCAACATAGAGGATTCAACAGGAAAACCAATTTTCACAAACAACAAACAGATCAAGCAATTGTGGTTGGCGTCCTATGTCTTGACAGATTTCAAAGGGCTTCTTTGGAGGTTGTAATGTGAAGAAACAAGTTCAAACCAACTACAATTCGATTGAAAAACACTTAAACTTGTCACTTAATTACAAGAATCAAATTACAAATTCAAATAGCATTACCATTGACAAGGCCAAACTGGGTTACAAACACTGAATTATAGATAAACTACTCCTAAGTACAAGAACTACTCCTAGATAAGTTACACTACTACTAGACTTCACATGAGTTGTGAATTTGATTGAAAGTCTTTTCTTCTCGAATTCTCAACTTTTATATGGTTTCACTGGCCATGCCATGCCATGCTGCCACGTGTTCATTTACTGGCTTTCCACATCTGCCCATGATCTGCAACTGCTGCAACTGCCTTGAACTCTCTTTCTTTCTGAGGTTGTCAAGTGTCACACCCTCAATCTTCCTTTTTGAGTACCTTTATTGCACGAGTATGCCCCTGTCGACAGAAGATTTCAAGCTTATGGTGCCAATATTTCTGAGGTTGCCGTGTGTCACACCCTCACACCCTCAATCTTTCTTCTTGAGCCACTATCTTCATGCCCTTGAATCTTGGACCTTCATTGCACATGATTATGCCCCTGTCGACAGAATATTTCCTATTTATGGTGCCAACACCTAGAGGGGGTGAGACTATATGGTTTAGTTATAATTAATAATTAACACTAGTATAGTAAAAGAGTTTTTTGAAATTGTAGGAGTGGCATTTGCCCATACTTGCTATCCCCTGGGTCTATCCTTGGATATATTGCAAGGGGAAATTATAGCATGAGATTTTTTACTTGCAATGGCATCACTCAGAAAATAAGGTAAAACTGCAAAAAGAAACCAGGAAATTGTGTCCGTAAACCAGGAAACCAGGAAGTTGGTATAAAGATAGGCCAGTCATTAGAAATTGTCTGTAAATCCTATATATTTGTTGGTCCATGAACCCATGGTCAGTAGTAATGAAGGACACAGAGTGAGTATGCAGTCTGGGGCTCAGGCCTGGTCTTTTTATAATTGAGGCTTCATTGGATTTTGCTTGCTCACTTCAGTAATCTGACAGACTTATAATGGATGGTTGCCTTTTTCTGTATTCTTGGGGCCTGCAGGAAGTAGATGATTTGATGATCCGGAGATTTCTACGAGCTCGTGATCTAGATATTGAAAAGGGTTCTAGCCTACTTCTAAAGTACCTAAAATGGAAGCGAGAATTTGTTCCAAACGGCTCCATATCTGCCTCAGAAATTCCAAATGACCTTGCCCAAAACAAGTTGTTCATGCAGGGAGTAGATAAGATGGGGCGCCCAATAGTAGTTGGCTTTGGTAGCAGACATTTACCCTCCAAGGGGAGTCTGGAAGAGTTCAAGCGTAATGCTATTACTTTGAAACTGTGTGATAGTTTTGAATTTTGTTAATCATTTGGTTTCAAAACTCAGTGAAAACCATGCTGTTTAGTTTCATTTTTTGTCCCTTCACATATATGACATTAGACAAATAAATAGAGATTTTGTTGGAAATGATGCTTATATTAACCTAACCTAACCTGTTCTCTCTTTTTGATCTTTTTTTTTCTTTTTTCTTTTTCTTTTTTTTTTATAGGTTTTGTGGTTTACAGTCTCGAGAAGATATGTGATAGGTAATTCATGTCTATAAGTAAATTTGATTCCTGAGGCTCATTTCTCTCTACGGATAATGAATATTCAAAAAGGAGGGCATCAACTTGTTAAGTGAAGGGCATATCATTGCACTTGAGTTGTTGATAAGGGATTTAATTGATGCATAATAATAAGATGAATGAAGATTTGTTCTTGAAACAAATTGCAATTCAAATCAGAAATGAAGGCCATTTTCCCTAATTCGCCCCAACTATTTGAGTAGTTGACTAGAGAAGATGGCTCTTCTTCTCCTCTACACTAGATGGTAGAGTGATTTACTACAACCATTTTGAAAATTTGTTTTCTTTTATTGCAAGCAAAAACAGTTTACTCATCATTTTCCGTGTAACATACTAAGGATAAGTTCATTTTTTTCTTATATTGGGGACATTTATGTTGGTAATTGATCGATCTTGATATCACCTTGATCTTTTAGAATGCCAAGCGGACAGGAAAAATTCGTTTGCATTGGAGACTTTAAGGGATGGGGATACACTAACAGCGACGTTCGAGGATACCTGGCATCTCTATCAATCTTACAGGTTTAAGTTCTCACCGCATTGTATTTCATAAGTGAATATGTGAAATTAATGTATTCACTTAGGCCTCGTTTGGGAACAGGCTAATTTAGTAACTTTTTGGCTATTTGGCTAAAAAGGTAGGTAAAAAAAACTTGTATGTTTGGGATGACTTTTTGACTAATTACGAAAAGATGTGCAAAAAGTAGAGAGAAAAGAGAATCTTTGACTTTTTGGTATGGGTTGTTGGCTTTTTGGCTAATTTAGTAACTTTTTGGCTAATTGGCTAAAATAGCCTCTTGCCAAACGAGGCCTTAGTCCCTCAGTCAAGTGAAGACTCAGAAACACCCCAGCCTTTAGTTGACTGCACAAACTCACTCTTATTTGATGAAAGTTTTCTTTGAGATGTGCATATTGAATCCAACATCCAAGTAGTGGGAAGGGATGCCGCAATGGCAGTATAAATATAGGGTTGCTCTAGAAACTTAGAAAAGCTTGTAAGTTCTAATTTGATTGTTTCAATGACAGGATTGTTACCCAGAGAGGCTAGGCAAGTTATTTGTAGTCCATGTGCCATATGTATTTATGACGGCATGGAAGGCTGTCTATCCATTTATCGACAAGAAAACAAAAAAGAAGGTATCTTTAAATATAAAAAAAAATCCTTGCATGACTTGTTTGTAATATACATTCTTATCAAATATCAACTTGAATTTGGGCTGGGATAATGGTCTCTACCACTTAATTCTCGTGTCCTTGTCCTTTTTGAATAGAAATAAAAATAGAAATAGAGTCGTGCATTGCATTTGTGTTTGGCATGATTAAAGTTGGAGCAATATGAATTAGGCATGTTTTATATAAAGACCATGAGCTAACTTTTTCTCTGGTCATTTAAATCAAAGCAGAAAAATATATGATAATTAAATATTAAAAAAAAAATAACAATGAACGAAAATCTTTTGCATGAAAGAAATGAAGTAGGAGAGAGCTAGAACACTTGAAAGTTATTGACTGTATTTTTATCACTGGTTGATTGTGTTACTAATGTTTAAACACATCTGCGCAGATAGTTTTTGTGGAGGATAAAAAGCTGAAATCAACTCTGCTTGCTGACATTGATGAGAGCCAACTCCCAGAGATCTATGGAGGCAAACTACCATTGGTTCCTATACAAGACTGTTAATTAGCGTAGCCAATTTTCAGAGACCTTGGAACCATTCATATTCCTATACACGACTGTCAATTAGGTGATTCATGTCATTTAACCTTCTGAAAAAGGGAAAGTTAAAGAGGAAGCTGCTGCCAGTTTTTATCTTCTAACAATGCTTGTGTTACAAAATTGATATTGTTTATATCATTAAGCATTTGATATGCCATTTGAGTATTAAGGAATACAAAGCTCTATCGACTATGCACTTAAAACACACTGATGCTTCATGGGAAAAAGGGGAATCCCTTGAGCCTAACCACGCAGGTAGATATTAAGCAGGGGTTTCCTCAAGTGAATCTCAAGGAAATCATAATAGGTTTGTCCGGTTCCTAGTAGAGAATGCAAGCAACCAAGAAGAGCAAAGTAGAATGCTCACTTTAACTGATCTTGAGATATGTAGTTTTACAATACTTTTGGCCCAAAAGATTGGCACAGTGTTGAATGTAGGAACATAATCCCTTTTAGCTGAAGCATATGTTGAAGGATACCTGAGAGCATCAATTACAGGCCAGAATGCGTACCGTCCCAGAAGGCATTGCTCATGACAGCAGCATGGCAATGCCAAAGGGCTATTCTACTTTCAATGAGCTCAACTCTCAATATTTTGATCCACAAGTTCTAGCTCTTTAGATAGATTAAGATTTATTGAAGTGGATTAGCATTAATACAAATTGTGGTGGGACGAATCTGGATTCTTCTTTCTCTATGTGTGCTTAAATGTTTATCTTGCCTACTTTAAACACGTGACACAGTAAATTGACGGGAAAGGCACTCTGATGCCTGAGTTAGAGTTGATCTCGGGGAAGGAAGAAGAGAAGCATAGTATGGGGCAAATGGTGATGGACTTTCACATACCACTTTAGTGCGGATCTCCGCTTATTTGTAGAGAATTTGGCTTATTTGTAGAGAATTTGACTTACCGGGGTCATGTCCATGTTACCCACTCTCCTCCACTAGGACTATACCGGAAGTGGTGACCCGCACCAATGGAACATTAGTTATCATCATTAAATTTTGGATAAATTATCAATAGATTTTAATAATTGTATTTAATTTCTATCGAAAATAAATCTTATTAAAATTTTTATTAAAAATAATTTTTTGTAACGATTTTTTACATATCGATAAAAATTGACCATCAATGACTTTTTTGTCACAATTTTTATAAATTGTCGCTAAAATTTACAATTAGTGATTTTTTTGTGACGAATTTTTCAAATTATCACTAAAAATTGTTAATTAGAAACTTTTTTTGTGAAATTTTTTTTTGAACTATCGTTAAAATTTATAATTAGTAATATTTTTTGTAACAATTTTTAAACCGTTGCTGAAAAATAACAATTAGTGACATTTTTTAATAGTATTTGATAAAAAATATTATTAATTCTCAAACGACCTATTAAATAATAAGTCTACCTATTAAAACCTGCACGTAAAACCTCTTAAATTTTCACTAACATCTTATTCTATCAGCCAATCACCATTACGGACACCAGGCATCTTTCTGGAGTAGTCAGACCATTCCCCAATGAAATATTGCGACGTCAGCGTGTCAAGCTTTTTTTAACCTACCACACGTTTATATCTTCTTTTCCACTCAAGTTGATTACCTGCTATCTTAACTGCAGCTGGGAAGTTGAGAAAATAAATAAATGGCCACACCAACTAGAGCTGGGCAGCTGAACCATCACCACGCAGTAATTTGGCAAGATGAAATGTTAAAGGGCCTCTCATAAATTGGTCTAGCACGCATCCTGTACACCATGCAGATACATGACTAGGGAAAAACGCAAACAAAAAATTCATTGTAGCCAAAGATGAGAGCAGGCTCATCAAAGAACTGAAAGGTTCCCAAGCAACATGCAGAAGATAACAATAACTGAAATGTCCCAAGCAACATGGAGAAGATTACAATCCAACAGACGAAAATAGCATCTCAATTTAATTATTGAGCAAAGTATATATTCCAAACACCATGCAAAACAAAAATAAAAATGTTAAACAAGAAGCCAGTCGGCTTATTCAGGACTTTATAGCCGTCTAAGAACTGGCACATAGATACAAAATCCAAAGTCATATGAAGCATTACTCTAAAGGCTAGAAAGAGAGAAACTTAAATTTGCAGATGAGTACACTTTCACAGGTTTGGAGGAAAATATCAAATATCAAATTATCAGTTGCTGCAATTGCAGCACTGGCCCTGCCCTTGCATAAAACTCCACCCTAAATTCTCACCCAATCATCAGCTTGTTCTCCTCCAAGAAGCTGTAAGTAGGTACCTCCAGATTGTAGGGTGCTGGTCCCTTGCGGATCCTACCAGAAATGTCGTAGTGTGAGCCATGGCAAGGGCAAAACCAACCACCAAAGTCACCAGCGTTTGGCAAGGGGATGCATCCCAGGTGGGTACAGACCCCAACGACAATAAGCCATTCTGGGTCCTTAACTCTGACAGAATCCTCTTGAGGATCTCGAAGGGAGGCAAGATCAACACTGTTAGCCAACTTGATGTCATCCTCAGTTCGACGCCTGATGAAAACAGGCTTACCACGCCACTTGACTGTAACAGTCGTCCCAGGTTCGATGCTAGAAAGGTCTACCTCAACGGATGCAAGGGCAAGAACGTCTTTAGTGGCAGACATGCTCAAGACAAACTTAAGTACCAGGAGACGGATCACGGAAGCATACACAAACCTGCCACCAGTCAAGACAAAGTATGCAAATGCACGTTTGCTGGGGTCACCAGGTGGATAACGCTCGTGATTGTGATCATCATACACAATTTTTGAGGTTGGATTCTTGACAGCTGCCACGGTAGCTGGGATGTCTGAGATTATAGCCCCATCATGCGTGGGGGTCACAGAATCAGAACCAAAACCTGGAAGAAACAAATCAATTATCATAAGAAAATATTTAACTAATTTTTGTTGGTTTTTTTTTTTTGGAAAGTGTTGTTAGGTATTTTTGCAAGCTAAACCTGCCAAATAGAAGTAGAAGTAAATATAAATGAAAGCAGTTGTAAAAACATTTCCACCACAGTAAAACTGTATGGAAAAATAATCAAATAATTAAGAAATATCAAATCCACCGATCACCATACTGGTACAAGTGGAGAGGGAGCACATTATTTGCTAAGACAAGAAACACCATAACTCAATAGTCAAAATTATTTGCTTAAAAACAAGGTGAAAGAAAATAGCATGTTCAGGATGCTTAATAATAAATCAATCCAATGAGTGCGAGAAAAATCAACAGAAACAGGCTACATTTTTTTTTCTTTTTTAATAAATCAACAAGGACAAGCTACATAAAAACTAAACAAAAAATTGCTTGGCAAAAAATGTGTGGTGAACTAAATTATCTTGGACCCTAGTTAACAATGCCTTCCCCCTTTGAATGAAGTTTCAAGGCCCGCAGTCATGAAGCTACCCCAAAGATAGCTAACAGTAGACAAATATTATGTCAGAACCCCTGCATATGCTACCAACTCCCATTAGACTCAAATAGCCAACAAAACAAGAAGTTTTAAAGTCCAGCTTGACTAAACACTTTATTTATTTTTATTTTTTTTTTTGGGCATGACAAACAGAAATATAGGAAGCAACACCATCCAAAATCTTTGAGGATGTGAAATTGAAGGATTTCCAAGTCCGAGTGCCAATATGAGTTCAATGCCAAGACTTTCTTTCAAGAAAAAATCTCCCAACCAAATCAATTGTCAAACCTAGTCTATTTATATCATTCCAATTACCTCAAACAGCTTAAGGCATTTCTTCTTGTCAACATAAAACCTTCCTGTTTTTCAATTACGCATATGAAATTTATGTGTTTTTTTTTTTGTGGATAAATCATATGAAATTTATGTTATCCTAACAATGCTAACAAAAATCAAGAGTCCTAGCCTCCTACATTGATTCAACTCATATTAGCTAAGTAGCGTGAACACTTCCATGGAGGAGACATGTCATGTCGGAAACAACACTGTGCAGAACACGTTTTAAAATTTTAAATTCATAATGTCGGATACTTGACAAACACTTCAGTAACACTTCTTGAACCCTTCTAACACAAGCTATGTGATCAATCTCATTATAGTAACAATGGCCTACATTATTTGGAATACAACTTGTGCACTCTAAATATGTTTTCAAACATTTATAAAATAAATACATTACATGTACTTCAAGGTTCTACAATTGTTTTATATAATTTAAATTGTAATTGTTACATAAATGATATCTTAATGTTTAAGTTATGGAATATAAAACATTTTATTTTAATTAGTGTTGTATTGTTTTTTTTTTTTTTCTCAATTATTTTTGAATAAATTATTTATATATTTGAAGTGGAGAGGGAGCATATTATTTGCTAATACAAGAAACACAATACCTCAATAGTCAAAATCATTTGCCTAACAAGAAGATGAAAGAAAATAGCATGTTTAGGATGCTTAATAATAAATCAATCCAATGATTGGGAGAAAAATCAACAGAAACATGCCATCATGTTTTTTTCTTCTTTTTCGATTAGTCAACAAGGACAAGCCACATAAAAACTAAACAAACAATTGCTTGGCAAAAAATGTGTGGTGAACTAAATTATCTTGGACCCTAGTTAACAATGCCTTCCACCTTTGAATTCAGTTTCAAGGCCTGCAGTCATGAAGTTACCCCAAAAGATAGCTAACAGTAGACAACTATTATGTCAGAACCCCTGCATAACCTACCAACTCCCATTAGACTCAAATAGCCAACAAAACAAGAAGTTTTAAAGTTCAGCTTGACTAAACACTTTATTTATTTATCAATTTTGTTTGGGCATGACAAATAGAAATAAGGAAGCAACACCATCAAAAATCTTTGAGGATGGATGTGAAATTGAAGGATTTCCAAGTCCGAGTGCCACACGAGCAACACAACATGAGTTCAATGCCAAGACTTTCTTTCAAGTAAAAACCTCCAAACCAAATCAATTCTCAAACCTAGTTTATTTATATCATTCTAATTACCAGCTTAAGAAAGGATTTCTTCTTGTCAACATAAAACCTTCCTGTTTTTCAATTACGCATATGAAATTTATGTTATCCTAACAATCCTAACAAAAATCAAGAGTCCTAGCCTCCTAGGTTGATTAAACCCATATTAGCTAAGAAGCACGAACACTTCCATGGAGGAGACATGTCATGATGGCCACAATCTTCCAAGATAATAATAATATTATTATTATTATTATTAATAAGTGAAAATCAAATGATAGATTGAATTTACATTTGCAGCGAATAGAAGTGAGAACAAAATGTTGGGTATAGAACTTGGGAAGCATGGAATTCTTGCCATGGTTTTCAGTGTCTAATAGGGAATCCATGAAACAAAATAAAAGAATCATCAGAAAAGAAATCTCCAAATCGCTCAATCCAGAGGGGGTGTTAGAATTGGAGATCATCTAATTTAAGATTTTTGAACCCAGGTAAGAAAGTCTAGCCTAAGGATGCAAAGCTGATGATAAATCCCAAATTCAATTTTTAATAAATTGGAGAAATTAACTAATCGCAAGATCTAAGCATACACAAACTTCACACCGAGAAGAAGAAGAAGAAGAAGAAGAAGAAGAAGATAGAAAAATCGATAGGTCTGACCTCTGATTTGATCTAGGAAGGCGGAGCTGGGAGAAAAAGTGTGAGGTGGGCAGATGGAATCAGAACCGTTGATCGGATTCCTGGCGATGACGGCCGAGGACGATGACGTCTGAGCGGACCTCCATGAAAGAGACGACAGCCTCCTCCCTGCAATTCTCAACATCTTTCTCTCTCTCTTCTCTTATGCTGTGATGTGATGATTGCTCTCCTCTTGTTTGTTAGGGTTTCAGTGTAGGACTGGGTCTGATTTTGGGGGGCACATAAGATGGACAAATTAAGGAGAGCTAAAGATATAAAAACAACTCTCTCTCTCTCTCCCTCCCTCCCTCCCTCAACAGCCCGAACGAGTAGGGCGAAAAAAAATAAAAAAAAAAAGAAGATTAATCGCCGAAGGAATATACGAGTGGAAATGGAGTCGCCGCGTCGACACACTGCTCTGTGAATAAACACTTTGAATACTTTAAATCAATGGCTTAGATAACAAGAGCCGTCTTAGCTCAGCCGGTAGAGCGCACGGCTTTTAACCGTGTGGTCGTGGGTTCGATTCCCACAGACGGCGGTTTTTTTGTCATACTAATGCATGTAGCATTATTCGGGTTATGTCATTCTTTCGTTCAACACAATAGCAACTTTCAATCAGTTTTTTTCCATTTCACTAACATTTGGTGGTAGAGATTGGTCATCATTTTGGACAAAAACATAGATGTTGGTGGTAGAGATTTCTATAACCAGAACTTTTCACAATTTGCTTTCAACATTTCAGAAATTACTTTGATTTTTTTCAACTGGAATCAACCCAAAACCATCAATGACAAATTACTTTGTTGCTCTACCTCCAAAATCAGACCTTCATCTTTATCACATTCCAAGTTGGATACAAAAACAGAGCAATCCATGTATGTATCCTAAAATGATGGTCTCTCCATCTCAGATTTCCTTCATATCTGGTGAAGGACGGGAAAGGGCAAGAAATTATTTGGGGGGAACAACAAATTTTTTTTTTTAAGAAAGATTATTTGGTGGTCTCTCCGGCTCAAATCGCAGTGTAAATCGCAGGAGTAAGACAGAGGGAGAGCCCACCGATGTTCGCCGCCGACTTGGATTCGCCGTTGGTGTCACGAGATGCTGTCACCGTTCACAAAGCTGAAGAGGGAGAGAAAAAAGTGAAGCAGAATGAAGCTTTGGAAGCTGCTGCTGCTGTGTTGAAGAAGGAAAGCAATTCAATTTTTTTTTATTTATTTATCTGAGCCGTAGATCTTCATTTGGCCACGTGGCCAAATCGTAGCCGTTGACAGGAGGAACAGTGGGAGTCTTTGGCTGGAGAGGATCCGGACTCTTAATTCCCACCACCAACAATCAACATTGTGGCTTCGTGTGGGAGATGGTTATTTGGCTATTTTTGTTTGTGTCTTTGAAGAGAAAGATTAAAATATTTTTAAATGATTATATTAAAAAAAATGTTTGATATGATGTTTTGTTGTTAAATTACCAAACTGTTCCTACGTAGCCAAGCTGCCAGCCATTGAATTGATATAGGCATTTGGCTTACGTGGGATGTACGGATCTGCACATGACCATTTATTTTGCAAAGTTTAATCTATGTTAGCTCCAATTGATGAACCTGGGTAACAAAAAAAAAATAAAAAAGATTGAGTATGTTTAGTTTGAGTTTTTTATTTTTAGTGAATATTTTTAAAATTTTAAATATTTTTTTTTATTTTTTTATATACACCTTATTTAGATGTATTTAAAAAATAAAAAATTTATAAAAAAATATTTGAAAAAATTAATAAATACATAGAAATATAAAAAATGTACTGAATTCTTATATTTTTTTGTATTTTTGATATTTAGTGAATTTTTAAAAGATTTTTTTTTATAATTTTTTTACTTTTTAGGTATATTTATGTTAAGTGTGTCTAAAAAGTAAAAAAAAAAATTGCTTAAAATATTAAAAAAATTCAATAAAAACAAAAAAAAAACAAAAAATAAGAAAGTAAAATTTTCTAAAAAGTATTTTTGGAAAAATAGAACCAAACAAGCTGATTGTTATTTGGGTTATTTGAATTGTAATTTTTGACATCTACACACAAAATATATATATATATATATAAAACTTGTACACAATTAATTACATATATCAACAAACCTTCGGCCATTTGTTAAACTTGACCCATTAATATAATTTATAAATTTTTAAAAATTTATAAATTATTAATAATCATCAATTTATAATGATTTTTTTTTCAAATACGTATTTTTCTTCAATTATTCTGTTGTCAATTAATTTTTTTTCAAATAAATATTTTTTCAATTAATTTTTTATTTCAAATTAATTTTGTGTCCATTACATTTGTTTGAATTTTTTTTCCAATAAGTTTTGTGTCCATTAAATTTTTTTCCCAACTATTTTGTTTTCAATTTTTTTTTTCGAGTAATTTTTTTCCAATTATTTTTATTTCAACTATAATGTGTATGGTCCCATTGTCATAAATAATAAAAATTAAATTCTAATAAATTTTTGGCCTTAACGCAAACTCTTTTTTTAGTTGATGTTTAAAAAAAAATTCAAACATTTTGTTCAAATTTGTTAAAAAATTAAATACGAATTTTTATGTTTTTCTACAAATAAAAAAAAAACCAGCTTATAAAATTATTAAATTTGTCATAAATTTTAAAAATTACCAAAAAAATCCCATAAACTACAACCCAAAAAAAAATGCAATTCTTTGTTATGAAATTGGACTGGAAGTCAAATAACGAAGGCATCCAGTAGGTTCAAAATTGAACGAAACTAAAGGTCAATCTGGGTAAATAAAATTTATAAGTACATTACAAACGTTTAGGAAACTGAAGTTCAACTATTATGCATTACAAATAGTTCCATAAGTCCAATGGCTTGCTACGTGGGTCACATTGCACAACAAATTTCCACATCGAAAACAACATATTCACAATAGTCCCAAACGGCGTATATAAAACAAATGGTCGCGGATGCAAATGTGAACTCTTGCCATATCCACATCTGTATCCCCAAACATGAGCCCATCATAGAGATTTTCTCTGCCGTCGTGAACGTCGGGCATGTCATTCGACACTAATAAAACACAATAATGTTTGTCGTTGCCCAAGGCAGCTAGCCCATGTCTACGAATAAAATTGTGTAACACCATTGATGCACCAACCAATGGCACTTGCACCGCCGCAAAATCATAGTCCGGCATATTGTGCAAGAACTTCCACCGAGATTTCCACACTCCAAAAGTCCTTTCCACCACACTCCTCAATGACGCATGTGCTTCGTTAAACATTTCTCTTGGGTTATCAGGTCGTCCATGTTCTCGAAATAGTGCTTGGTGATACCGAGACCCTTTGAATGGTGCCAGGTACCCCTTCTGGTTTGGATATCCCGCATCCACAAGGTAATATTTACCTATATTTAAAAATAAAAATAAAAAACAATTATATACACGTGACATAAACCCGAACTACTACTGAATATGAAATATGTTACCTTCTTGTGGGTACGGAAACGAGCGTGCTGATTTTCAATTATTTCCTTTAAGATACGACTGTCATGTATGCTTGTAGACACCTCATTTTTGACCGCCCTTAAGACTTGGGCGTTACTGATGGTTTACTTGGTGTTGAAAGCTGTGTAGTGCAAAGGGTCGGTTTCTTCGACGAGAGGAGAGTCAAATCCCAACCTTACACCTCATTTTGGACCAAAACTATTTTGAATGGTTTTTAGACCTTAAAACCCTCTCTTTCAAAACATTTTTTGAAACAAATTTCTTACGATGCTCCGAGGCTCACATTTCGTTAAATGTTGCGCTTTTCGGCAAACCGAGCAAGGACAAAGTGGAAATGAATGAAGGAGAGATGAAGTCTTTTGAAAAATCTTTCAAAACACCTTGTTTAGGGGTTTGGAATTGAAGAAAAGAGGAAAGGAGAGAAGAAAACTAGTTTGGAAGAAGTTCGGCATAAATCTGGGTAGGATCGAAACTGCGCGGCTTCACCAAAACAGGCATAACTTTTTACACAGTTAGAATTTTGATGCAAGGCTGGCGCCATTGGAAAGCTAACTTCTGGGGCTTCAATTTGGACACCTGGCCGACCACGTTTGACCTTGCCAGCCATTGGCCAACCACTTTTCTTTCTAGGAGACCACTTTTTGTCGTAAAAAACTAGAAAAAGTAGATGGCCGACCACTTAACTGGTCGGCCACTTTCCAACACCTTTTTGAAGATATTTTCCTCCAGCTGGCACAGCTGGAGGGCACTAAAACCATCCTCCTTAGCTTCTTAGAGAAGCTTTGCCTTTTGTTCTCTATAAGATAGAGGCTCCTCCTCCCTCCTCTAGGGTCAGAAAAATCTCCCTTCAGATATACATATAGCTTTGTATCTATCTTGCCTTGGTTCTTCATTTTTGTGCCTTAAAGTGTCATTTTGTCTTACTTTAACACACAAACACACACTCAAACACCATTCTTTTGCTACTGAGGTGCTTAGGAGCTGGTTTTGGTGTTCTTGGGTTGGTTTAAGCTTGAAAACCTGCTGGAGTTGCAGTTGTAAAGGTGGTCATCAAGGGTGAGTCTTTAACCCTTAAATCTCCCATTCTTGCTTAAGCTTTTGAGCCTATTTTCATACTGTTTTAAGCTTAGCTCTTAACTAGAAAAAGTTCTGTTTTTGTGTGCTTAAAAAGTTTGTTTAAGGTCACTTTTTCGTTGGGGGTGATCTACCCCCTCTTAGGCCTTGTTAGGCCTTATTTTGAGCCATCCCTTTAGGCTCTTGTTGTAGCCTTTGCATGACCTTTCTACCACTGAAATCCAGAGGATTTTCAATGGTGGAAAGGTGGTTTTGGAGTCCTAAATAGGAGAGGGCCATCCCCACTCCTTGTATTTTGAATACTTGCCACATAGGCCTCATGTGTGAGGATGTTTGTTAAGTTTATGTTGGCCATATCTTAGCTTGTATTTGGGCTTATTTTGCTGAGGCATGTCACTGTTTTTTCTTGCTTTGGTCACTCCATGCATGCCTAATAGTCTTGTATGCTTCATGAAGTAGCATGTTATTCTAGGTTGTTTTGTTTCCATTTCAGCATATTTTTGGTGATGTTTTGCCATGTCATGACTCTGTTTGGTTTGGTTTGGTTGGCCCATGCATGCTCCATGCACTTGTAGTGCAATTCCATGAAATAGCCTAAAATGCATCATGCTTTAACATGTCATTGTAGCATGCTTTTGGCTTAACTTTAAGAAGCTTTTGTCCATGTTTTAGCTCTAATTTTGATTGTTTTGGCCATGCATGACTTGCTTTGTATAGCCATAGTGCATTCTAGGTTGTTAGCTTTGTGCATCAAGTCCACTAGCATGCATTACTTGGACTATTTGAATGATTTGGCATCATTTATTATGTGATTTCAGTCCATGTTTCATGCTCATACACTTGCATCTTTCACTTATTCAATGCGTTGGAGGGTTTGCCCCTTTATGCCTTAACATGAATCATTGCGTATGCCTTCATGCCTAAGCTTGCGAGCTATCATTTCAATGTGTTTTTGGGGTTATTTTTCCATGATATAACTCTAATTTTTATTGGTTAAGTCATCCCATGCTTGGTCTTAATAGGTGTAATGTAATCCACCTTATTTGCCTTGTACTCATCATGCCTTATGCCCTTCATACTAGCTTGTTTTGGCTTCCTTCCATGTATGTTTTAGGCTCATTTTAACATGTTCTAGGACTATTTTGGGTTGCCTTTGCCATATTCTTCATGCTTTGTATAGCTGTAGTGCAATTGACCTTGCTAGCTTTGTGTTTTGATGAATCATGCATGCTATCTTTGAGCTATTTAGATGATTTGGCATCACTTAATACTTCATTTCAGAGGCTATAGCATTGTCATGTTCCCACTTCAATCATGCTTTAAGTGCCTTTGAGGGTTGAGCATTTGTTACCTTGTTCTAGCTTAGCTTCTATGCGTGCATGCCTAGGTCTTTGAGCCTTCATCTCAGCATGTTTAAGTCTTCGTTTAGACCTAATTAAGCTTTGTCCATGCTTAGTTCATGCACTTGTGCCATGTATTGCATGCCTCCATTGTAGTCTTCTTTGATAGCTCCATGCTTTAAGGACCTTCGCATGCTTTACTTGTGTTGTTTAAATGATTTGGCATCGTTTATCATCTCATTTCAGTGCACTTAGTGTTGTTACACTTCCATGCTTTTCACTCTTTAGGTGTTCTTGAGAGTTGCACCTTTATGCCTCAATTGGTGAGCCAATTGGCATGCATGCTTGTATGCGTTTTCGGTGCCTTCATTTTAGCATTATGGCCACTGTTTTGGCATTATTCGCATGCTGTTTTGAGCCTAACTTCCTATTGAAAACAGTTCTAATTTTTGGTCCTTAAGAAGTTTGTTTAACGTCACTTTTTCGTTGGGGGTGATCTACCCCCTCTTAGGCCTTGTTAGGCCTTATTTTGAGCCATCCCTTTAGGCTCTTGTTGTAGCCTTTGCATGACCTTTCTACCACTGAAATCCAGAGGATTTTCAATGGTGGAAAGGTGGTTTTGGAGTCCTAAATAGGAGAGGGCCATCCCCACTCCTTGTATTTTGAATACTTGCCACATAGGCCTCATGTGTGAGGATGTTTGTTAAGTTTATGTTGGCCATATCTTAGCTTGTATTTGGGCTTATTTTGCTGAGGCATGTCACTGTTTTTTCTTGCTTTGGTCACTCCATGCATGCCTAATACACTTGTGGTGTAATTCTTACAAACTAGTCTTGTATGCTTCATGAAGTAGCATGTTATTCTAGGTTGTTTTGTTTCCATTTCAGCATATTTTTGGTGATGTTTTGCCATGTCATGACTCTGTTTGGTTTGGTTTGGTTGGCCCATGCATGCTCCATGCACTTGTAGTGCAATTCCATGAAATAGCCTAACATGCATCATGCTTTAACATGTCATTGTAGCATGCTTTTGGCTTAACTTTAAGAAGCTTTTGTCCATGTTTTAGCTCTGATTTTGATTGTTTTGGCCATGCATGACTTGCTTTGTATAGCCATAGTGCATTCTAGCTTGTTAGCTTTGTGCATCAAGTCCACTAGCATGCATTACTTGGACTATTTGAATGATTTGGCATCATTTATTATGTGATTTCAGTCCATGTTTCATGCTCATGCACTTGCATTTATCACTCATTCAATGCGTTGGAGGGTTGGCCCCTTTATGCCTTAACATGAATCATTATGTATGTCTTCATGCCTTAACTTGCGAGCCATCATTTCAGTGCTCATTTGGGGTTGTTATGCCATGATATAACTTTGATTTTTGTTGCTGAAGTCATTCCATGCTTGGTCTTAATAGGTGTAGTGTAATCCGCCTTATTTGCCTTATATGCATCATGCCTTATGCCCTCCATGCTAGCTTATTTTGGCTTCCTTCCATGCATGTTTTAGACTTATTTAAACATTTTCTAGGACTGTTTTGGGTTGCCTTGATCACATGCTTCATGTTTTGCATACTTGTAGTACAAGTGCTCTTGCTTGCTTCAAGCTTTGAGCACCATTGCATGCTTCATTTATGTTGTGTACATGATTTGGCATCATCTAACATGACATTTCAGAGCATCTAAGACTACCATGTTCCCACTTCATTCGCTCTTTAAGTGTCTTTGAGTGTTGTGCATTATTGCCTAGCTTATGGCTTACCTTGTATGCTTGCATGCCTAGGTCTTTGAGCCCTCATCTCAGCATGTTTAGGTCTTTGTTTTGACCTACTTGAGCTCTGTCCATGCTTAATTCATGCATATTTCCATGTGTTGCATGCCTCTTTAGTAGTCCTCTTTATTAGCTCTAATGCTTAAGGACCATTGCATGCCATACTTGTGTTAATTAAATGGTTTGGCATCATTTCTTGCCTTATTTCAGTGCACTTAGTGTTGTTACACTTCCACTTTTATTACTCCTTAAGCCTTCTTGAGGGTTGTGCTCTTAGGCCTACTTGGTTGGCCAATGCATTGTGCATGCATACCTTGCCTTTTGGTGCCTTTGTTTTGGCGCTATGGCCACTATCTTGGCATGACTGAGGGTCTGTCCATTTTGGTTTAAGTCAATTGAGTATGTGATTTGCATGTTGTTGCATGCTTGGTGTATTGCATGTTGCTGCCCTTATTGCATTGCATCGTGCATGCATGCATTACATTATGTTAAGAACCTTATGATTCCCTTGCATTGAGTATGCCATCTAGTTCTTAGCATTTAGCAATGTGTATGTCATGTTATTCCTTGCATTGTGTATGCTATGTTGTTAGTGCATTGAGTATGCCATGTTGTTCATCACATTGCGTATGCTTATGTTTCATTGCATTGTGCATGCCATGTTATGTATTGCATTTTTGTTTGGAATAGGTGTTAGTCCAAACATGAGAAACGAGG